GGCTTAAAGCTCAACATTCAGAAAACTAAGATCATGGCATCTGGTCCCATCACTTCATGGGAAATAGATGGGGAAACAGTGGCTGACTTTATTTTGGGGGACTCCAAAATCACTGCAGATGGTGATTGCAGCCATGAAATTAAAAGATGCTTACTCTTTGGAAGGAAAGTTATGATAGCAACCTAGATAGCACATTAAAAAGCAGAGACATCACTTTGCCAACAAAGGTCCATCTAGTCAAGGCTATGGTTTTTCCAGTGGTCATGTATGGATGTGAGAGTTGGACTGTGAAGAAAGCTGAGTGCTGAAAAATTGATGCCTTTGAACTGTGGTGTTGGAGAAGACTCTTGAGAGTCCCTTGGACTGCAAGGAGATCCAACCAGTCCATCCTAAAGGAGATCAGTCCTGGGTGTTCATTGGAAGGACTGATGCTGAAGCTGAAAGTCCAATACTTTGGCCACCTCATGCGAAGAGTTGACTCTTTGGAAAAGACCCTGATGCTGGGAGGGATTGGGTACAGGAGGAGAAGGGGATGAGGATGAGGTGGCTGGATGGCATTACCGACTCAATGGACATGAGTTTGAGTAAACTCCGGGAGTTGGTGATGGACAGGGAGGCCTTGGCGTGCTGCGATTCATGGGGTCACAAAGAGTTGGACACGACTGAGTGACTGAACTGAACTGAACTGCTCTTCATGTAATACCTCATTTAATTCTCCTAACCTTGAAGTAGACAGAAGTAATCTTATTTTATAGAGGAGAAAACAGATCAGATAGTTTACTGAGATTAGTTGTTTGTTCAGGGTCACAAAGGTAGTAAGTCACCAGTCCAGGCAGCTTGCCCTTAATACCTGGATGTGCTATTGCCATAGATCACAGGTCCCTAACCTCCAGAACCTAATGTCTGATGATCTGAGGTGGAGCTGAGATAATAATAATAGAAATAGAGAGTACAATAAATGTAATGCACTTGAATCATCCTGAAACCATCCCACCCAGCAATGTCCGTGGAAAAACTGTCTTCCACGAAACTGGTCCCTGGTACCACATAGGTTGGGGACCGCTGCCATAGATCTTTAAAATGGCAATGGTGGGGGTTATGGAGGGAGAAGTATAAAAGCAAAGTTCTCAAATACAAATGTCAGATAAACCATGTTCATCAATATTATTTGAAGAATAAACAGAACAGTAAAAGAGCAGTTCTTTTTTTCCATATCTTCCTCATTGTTATGAGAGGTACTATGGTACTAAGATTTGCAGTAGTAACAGATATCAACACGAGTTTTGCATAATTCAGAAACCTCCAAGGGAGCAATTTTAGATCCTTCTTATCTGTTTTTGGTCTCCTGACCTAGCGCTTCTGCAGAAGAAAATGACCAGGAATGGTTGACACATTCAGCAATCAAAGGAGTCATGGAAAATGAGCAGTTTGAACATCAGACAGAGTGAGGGGAATTTTTCACCTGAATGCTCTTAGAATGAAATTTATACTTTCACCTTGATTATTACAACATGATTTCCATCAATATAATCACCTGAAAACAACAGATACCATGGAAACAGTTTTATAGAGTGAAACATGGCCAGTATTATGCAGACCCAATTACTTGAGATTTTTGCATGGGTATTACCAGGAGAGAAGAATTGCTTTTTACTGGACTTTTCTCCTGACAGAATGTAATAACTATGTATAGATTTCCCCAACTGTTCAAAGTTATGAACTGGGATTTACCAAGGAGGGTCGCATGTTTCAATATAGTATTATATACTTATTGAATATTTTTCTTTACTTAGCTGATTCCTTTTTAAGTATTTCTAGAAGCTTCAGGGCAATAAAAAGGGAATAGTGAAATATTCAAATAAGAAAATACACTTTTATGAGCAAGTATTTTATTTCTACACGTTCCCTGAAAACCAAATCTATACCAAGAAAAATTCTATTTTGAACACAATTGAAACTTTATGAGTATTGAATTTCCATCCCATTTTATTGATTTCAAATGGAGAGATAAACTGAAGTATAGCAGGGCTGCAAATGACATTGTTTAGATAAACATATCTTGTCAGAATTATCCTGGTACCAGCAATAGAGGCTCCAGGCATATTTAGAACTAAGATTCTGGTTTAGGCTCTTAATAAGCAATATGGCAAGTCTCAACAGGCACTTGCTTTTAAGAAAATGCTTTATTGGACCATTTGGGTTGGAATCTTTCCACTATGTTGAAAGTATTCATAAAGGTATTCATTTCTAAAAGACAAAAGCTTAGAAAAGCAGAACTATTCAAATCACTAGATATTAGCAGAGATACACAAACCTGCCCTCCAGTCACTCAGTGTTAATCTACATCATGAAAAAGCATCAATACAAGATCTAAAAAAGATTGCAAGGGATAATGGAAACTGTTTAGACAAAGTTGAATGGATACTGTAAAATAGATTAGTGTTATTTTCCTTTTAGGGAGAAAAATGAAGTTATTTTTCATTAGGAAAACAACAAATGACTTTCTATATAGTGTTTTCAGATTTTCATAAACATCTTAGCCAAGTTTCCATATTTCTCAGGCAAGAAACAGAGTACTTAACTTTGTAGTGGGGATCTCAGTCTCATAACTCATTCACTAAGATTCACTCTTTGGGGCCTGTGTGTCTCAGCCTGATGAGGGAAGCCTCGTGGTTTCACTATAATGGAGGAACACTCTATCAGTTGGACAGCTATCTATGTTGGTCATTACAGGGCAATTTTGCTCTTGTATGGCTGGTTATAGAAATGACATCCTATACATTACACGTAATTATAGAACTTAAGTGCATTCTTCCTATCCAAACTAGCTGTGAAAGAGACTGACTAGTTTCTTACCAAATTAATTGCTCTTTTTCCTGGACTCAACATTGGATAATATTTTCCAGTTTCCCTTGCAGTTAGATGTGGCCATGTGACAAGTTCCAGCCAACAGATTATGAAGAAAGTCATGTGTATGACTTCCAGGCATGGCTCATAGCAAATTCCAATGGTCAATAATGGTTCCTCACCTGCTCGATCAAACGCATAACACTTTGATGTTCTATGTTAGAAGGGGCTTGGGTCCCTGAATAACTTTATTATGGGCTGCTTACTGTGGAATATACCAGAATAAAAAGTCAACTTCTACTGTTCTAAACTACTAAGATTTACTTTACTTGCTGTAGTGGCTGCTGCTGGTTAATCCCTAAGTCATGTCCGACTCTTTGCAACCCCATGGACGGTAGCCCACCAGGCTCCTCTATCCACAGGATTTCCCAGGCAAGAATACTGGAGTGAGTTGTCATTTCCTTCTCCAGGTGATCTTTCTGACCCAGGGATAGAACCACCATCACCTGCTTGGCAGGCTGATTCTTTACTGCTGAGCCACCTGGGGAGCCTGTTGTAGTGGCTACTGGCGCCTAATAATACATCAGCATATATCCAAATACATTGTTTGATCAACAATAAAGAGTTAAAATTTCAAAATCAAGAAGAGTCTATTTTAATTAATTAATATTCACTACAACTCAAAGAGGAAGTGTCTTCAGGAAGTGAATCTAAACATCCATAATTGCATATTGAAATAGTCTTTAGTCCTAATCCTAGTGATTAAGGTCATTAAGCAAAACAAGATGAGAAGTGGTAAACATTTTAAAAGGAACACACTTCTAAGCCAGAAAGAGACATTTGCAAATTCCAAGATCTGCTCTTTGCTTGTTTTGTTAGTGTGAACAATTTGATTAATCATTCTCTGAAACCGTTTCCTCATCTATAAAATGGGGATTATGAAATTTAGCCAACAGGATTTTGTAAAGATGTTATACATACACAGACACACCTCATATACTGCCTGATACCTGGGAGGTATTCAACAAAATAATAGCTATTAACACTATTTACCTAATAAATGCAAGCATGAGTAATATTTTCTGAATATTAAATGTTTCTTTCAAAATATTAACCAGAACTTTCAATTCTCGTTACTGTTTCCCCTCCCCCAACATACAGGCAGCCAGACACCCTGCTTTCTGCTTCCTTAGGGAAGTGTTGACACAACAGAATGTATATTATGAAGACATAGACTCTTGGTTTTTAAGTTTCAAAAGCCTAGGCCTGGTGTAAGACAAAAGCTTTGGAAGGAAAAAAGAATGATTAAACAAAGGTTTTTCCCTCCTCCTGAACTAGAAAACACTCCTCCGGATGTGGGGAGGGACATAAGGGGACATTGCAGAGGAAGAAAATTTAGTATCAGTATGTATTCCTGGAGGGAAGACAGGGGGAAGGAAGGGTGGAAACCCAGGGAGATCCAAGAGACTTTACTAGCTGTGGTGACCTCGGCCTTTTTTCTAAGAAGAGCCTTTGAGAAAAATATGATGGAGAACAGTTTCCTTTACTCTTATCTCCTCTCTAGCCCTCTTTCTGACCCCATGCACAGTCATTCTGAAGCATCCTGCGTAAAGAGAGTATGTGCAATGTCTAGTCAGGTAGACCTTAAAGAAACTCTCAAAGTTCCCACTACCTCCCCCGCAATGTGGCATGAAGAATGGTACAAAGATCTCTGATATTACACAATGAGGGCAACCGAGCTGCAGAGAGACGTCCAGTTCTGAAAGTACCACTGCAGACAGGAAAGAAAATAATGGTCATGGAAGAAACTGCCTGCTTGAACCAACAACCAAGGACATGGGGAGAGAATGGCATCTCCATGGATGCCAGCCCAGATACATGACAACTGAGGCGGGGGGGATGTTATGCCATACCCATGCTTGCCACTCTATGCTTTGCAACGACATAAATCTGGATTGACAAATTTTATCTTTTATCTATTTCCTGGAATTACATTTGGTTATTGAAAGATAACATTATGGACTGAAAAACCTTAGTTACAATAGTCGCAATATTTTCATAAACGTAACGGAGGTGTATGAACTTAAGTCATCATAGAAGATTTTCATACATCTTTCCCGAAGTTTCACATGCCTGTTAAAAGAAAGACTTACTTCGATCAGTAATGACGGTCCTGGCCTCTTGATTGCTGGTCTTGTTTTTCAAATTCTGGGCAGCAGTAATGAGTTCTTCCAACTGGGGGCGCCTCTGGTCCAAGTCCTGCAGTGTTGCCTGAAGGAACAAATGGAACAATACTGAGTTCCTCCAGCACTGCTCATTCCTTTTATGGGTAATTTTCAAAAACCAACGAAGGCACTTTTAGAAATAAAACAAGATGTTATTAGATATAAATCTCTAATGTGTTAGGCTTTACAAAGAGCAATTTAACAAGGTATGTGTTTCATTTTTCGATACCAAAAATATTTCAAGTGAAAATCTTGATTATGGGTTTGCTTCACTAGTTAAGAGCTTAGATGGAGTCATTTCAGTGTTCCTGGGTTTATGTACACCAATATGAGTGCCACGAGTAACCAATGTAATTCTGAATTATAAAAATGTATTTAAGACACTGATGGCTATTTATACTTGTAATCTCATGTTGTGCAGTGTCAAAATTGAGGTGTATATTTTAGAAACAGAAAAGACAGAGAAGTGTTTTAAGAGAGAGAACTTATTTAACTTCTTTGTGCTTAAAATTTCTCACCTATAAAATGAGAAGATGATGTAGATGAGCTAAATTAATCTTTTCCCAAAATTGACTCTAGTAAGATTCAACTGATTCTTTTGCCTCACTTTAGAGTGAATGAATTAGATGGGATGAGGAGGGCTACAAATCAACATTTTAAACAAATTTTCTAATGCTCATGATCAGGCAAGCTTAGAAAGCATCAGACTAGAAGTTAGTATTTGTATTTTGTATTAAAACTGACTTTAATACTGCTTTTAAAAAAGTACCAAAGAGAATGAAGCCATATATATATGGGCTTCTCTCGTGGCCCAGCTGGTAAAGAATCCACCTGCAATGCAGGAGACCTAGGTTCAATCCCTGGGTTGGGAAGATTCCCTGGAGAAGGGAAAGGCTACCCATTCCAGTATTCTGGCCTGGAGAATTCCATGGACTGTATAGTTCATAGGGTCTCAAAGAGTCAGAAACAGCTGAGTGACTTTCATCTATATATATATATGAAAGATAACATTCCAACTGAGTTCCTCCATATATATCAGTATATATATATATCAGTTCCTCCATATATATCAGTTTCTCATATATATCAGAACTCAGTATAGAGGAATATATATGTATATATATCTTTCATATATATATATGCAATGACACCCCACTCCTGTACTCTTGCCTGGAAAATCCCATGGATGGAGGAGCCTGGTAGGCTGCAGTCCATGGGGTCACTAAGAGTTGGACACAACTGAGCGACTTCACTTTCACTTTTCACCTTCATGCATTGGAGAAGGAAATGGCAACCCAGTCCAGTGTTCTTGCCTGGAGAATCCCAGGGACGGCGGAGCCTGGTGGGCTGCCGTCTATGGGGGTCACACAGAGTCGGACACGACTGAAGCGATTTAGCAGTATATATATATGTTGGGCTGCACCCCACAGACCCACAAAGCTTGCACTTGCTCAACTTCATGACTGAAAAAAAGAGCCCAGAGTCAGCGACAGAGACATCAGTGGTCTAATGGATGGGGGAGCTTACACGTCTGAAGCAAGGTTCTGGGGTGACACCCCACCATGTACAGCAGAGGGTGGGTAGCAAGTGGGGGTAATCTTCATTGGGGGAGGGGAGGAGGGATGGCTAGTTACAGGAGAAATGATATCAGATGGGATCATTAGTTATCAAGGAAACCAGTAGAGGGTACGCACCTCACTGCCTCTTTGATAAACATGATCACCAGTCAGGGCCTGCGCCAGGTACTGCACATAGGAAGTCAGTCATGTGCAGAGGGTAGAAGTGAAGCAGGCACTGGTCAATCAGGGATGTATAGAGAGCAAGAAGACAGCCATCTTGAGTAGCCTGACCATACAATATATACTTTATAGGTAGCAATGTTCTCCTTCCCCCAAGTGTCCATTTATTGCCTCTGTCATCTATTCTCTCTATACGAAGGGCCAAAACCCCAGTGATATTTTCAAAGAAGTTTGGGAAAAAGTAAGGTATCTCCTTTGTCCTTGTACTAAAACTGAATACATTTTATTGGTTTGCATTACTTTAAAACTGCTATGTGACAGATGTTTTACACACGTTTCCTCATTTTTATTCTCTTAATAACCACACTAAAAAACTAAGCCAGAAGTCTTCATGGTTTTAAATCTTATGCTCTTTCTACTACCACATGAGGCCAATGAAAGTCAAGAGGTGAAATGTGGTAGATGGTAAAGTTCATGGACATTAGTTATCTACTATGCCCTTTGACTGGTGCTGATTTTCTAAAGACTTTTGTATTTAGAAAGGCCAAGTTTTGATCATTCTATAGTGTTTCTCTTGTGAAGAGGTAGGAAATAGGCCTGTGATTTGAGCTCAATTGCTTTTAGTGCTATCAAAATAATGGGAAGAACTTACACAAACATTGCCCATCTATTTTGAGCATTTTTCCCTCTCTGTATTGAAAAATTGAAGGGGTTAACTTTTAACAAATTTTCCACATTTGTAAGCTGCGATTACTCAGAAGAAAAATCCAATTTTCAGGTTTCTAACTTTTATGGTTTCTTTACACAAAAGTGTGTTTGAAATATGGAACAAATTGCCAAAGACAGCTATTGAAGTAAGTGGCATAAGTCAGTTGGAGAGTCCTGAACAAATTCTAAAGTAGGAACCATATAGTCACAGACAGATTTTACGAAAGATGTTTTCCAGGGTTAGACTGTTACACTCTGGTCATCTGTGACACAGCAAGCCGAAAAGTTACTTTGGAATTTCTAACTCTTAAATGTATAATACATTCAATAATAGATTTTTGAAAAATAGACTTACCCAGAAACCATAAATTCAAATCTTCCCCTCTAAATGCACAGAGCTAGCAAACTACATACATTCATTTATTTACTGACTCATTCTTTCATTTTATAAATATCAAATGCTAGGCACTGTTTCAGGTCTTATGGACATAGTAGTAAATGAATACATTAGGCATACTTTATGCAATTTAAGTAAAAAATTGTGTTTTTTGACACTTGGAAATTTTTATATAGCAAAGATGATCTTTATTGTCATTTTCCTTTGATTTCATATTAACCCAGCCTCAAACAATCAGGCCATTCTTTGTGTTTAAATTCTGGATACATAACCCCAAGGATGGCTATGATTTTTCCTTTCTTTTAGGATTACAAAGTTCGTTTAAGAAGTCTGTTGTAGAAGTAACTTGATCAACTCTAATCTGAACCTTACCAGGCTCTAAATTAAACCTGACCACAATGAACAGCTTTTACTGATGAAATTAGCAAGCATGTCAATTTAGACTTAAAACAAGCCATTTTCCTCTCTAATGAACAAAATAGGTCTCAGGGTATTGTGAAACCTGTTCTCTAGTTGGGTGATTCTCTAATTCTGCTGACAGACACATACTTTGTAAGCACCTGAGAAGATTATTAATGACATCCTTTGAAGAAGCCTCCTTAAAAATCCAAGGAGATTCACGACTGCAATAAAACTATGCCTTTCTAAAATATTTCAAAACAGAATTATAGCTCTATCCCACTTTCTGGTCAACACAGACAAACATCAATTTCAAAAAAGAAACTGTACAATAATAATAATGTGTGAATATATATTATATATATGGGATTTATGAAATGCTAATAGGAAAGATTGAAGGCAGGAGGAGAAGAGGATGACAGAGGATTAGATGGTTGGATGGCATCACTGACGCAATGGACATGAGTTTGAGTAGGCTCTGGGAGTTGGTGATGGACAGGGAAGCCTGGTGTGCTGCAGTCCATGGGGTTGCAAAGAGTCGGACATGACTGAGTGACTGAACTGAACTGAATATACTAATTAAACAGTGGTTTCACAGTAGAGCAGAATAGGAATTTTTTTAAAATTTTCTTTCCAAAAATAAAGGAAAGGATTTGAAAAAGACATTCATTTAACATTGCTTTTTGTTAAGATAGTATACAAACAGTGACTGAAAGATCTTCATGCTAATAAACAGGACACATGCATGCAATGGGAGGAACAACTATTTCATCTTTTCATTTGGTTTTCTTTTGAGTGTACTCTATTTGCTATCACAATTTCTTTGACTTGACAACTTAGTTTCATAATCCTATAAATTCTCAAATACAATGACCTTCATCTGAGCTACCCACAGATGAGAGAACACTTTGGATCTAATCATTACTCATACTACCCACTTCCAAAATATCCATCTACAAATTCCTTTTCCTGCCCCCAACCTGGTAGCAGATGGTATTCTCTTTCTCCTCTAATATTCATCCTCATTTGACCTCCAGTTGTATTCCATTGTTTAAATTCTTTATTCTGGGTTTAGTGGTCTATATTTGTCATACTAAACCAGTAGAATGCTAATTATGCTTATTTTTCTAATATGAACACAGATACTTATAACTTAAGTGAATAAAACTAAAACTATTACATGCTTAACAGTACCTAAGCATGATAATTGAGCACATCTACACAGATCTATCATTCTGGAATAAACAAGCACAAAGGAAGACGGGAATCAATGCTATTTCTAAGGAGTCATAAGCCAGCTACTGGGCTTTGCTAAAAACAGCTTACCCCTTGGAGGTGAGAATTCAACATGGATTCCACTAGCTGAGCAAAGATGGAGAAAAAAAAAAGATCTTCAAATACAAAGTGAATCATAAGTCGTTAATCCTACTAAGTCTCCCCAGGGTTGAAAGAAGTGGTTATAAACAGCAATCCTATGAAAAAGCAGCTAAACAATGGAGCCATGCATACCAAAAGTAGGTCATTTTAGACTCTTAGAAAGAATTACACTTTGTAATGGCATTTGTTAAAATGAAATTCTACCTAAATAATACTCCAATAGAAAACTCTAGATGTGTAGTTGAATATTTAGTATTTATATGTCTAAGCAAAGACCTTAACCAGAAACTTGTTATATTTTTAGTATTTTTCTACAAAAACCAACAATCTTCACATAGTTAAACTTAGAACAAAGGCCTATGGTGATTTTCAGTTGTTGCCATTTTCAGGAAATAAGCATGAATCCAACTTACATATTATGTAAAA